ACTGTAGCCAGGGAGCACGTAAACACTAGGCAGAGTGAGGTACACCATCAGAGAGAGATGCTACTCTTGTTCTCTAGGGTGTTTCCTCACTTCTAATATTTCTTTGGTCAAAATCAACGACGGGCTACTTTAAATTTCGAATCAGAGATTGCCAACCCACGGTGTAGCTGGGCAGGATCAGAGTCAGCCAACAGCTCCAGGGTTGGTTTAAAAATGTACCAGAACTGTGCTCTTATCAAGGCCTAAGTCTGACTGGTGAATGTGTTCTCATATGTACAACCAAACCCAACTGAAACTGCGATAGGGCTCAAAGTAATAACTCTCAACTGTACTGCTTTAGTAACCTAACCGAGTGTTTGGGTCAGTAAGATAACTGACAACTTTTAGATAAACAGATTATAAAAAATGTGAAAAGACAAGCGACAAAGAGTTAGCTAATGAGGCGAGAGACTATAAAAGTGAATGGTAGGGAAGCTGAATAGCAAAAGAAGCCGAGGAGTAGAGGGGTATGGTTTCCCTAAAGCAAAGAAATTCTGTTTTCTCAATTAAAAAGAGAAAACATTGCTAACTTAGTAACAGCTCAGGCATTTGGCATTTTAGCCAATTAATTTGGCGAAAAATTTGTTCTAAAATACGCGATAGACGTGTTGCACACATTACTCTGTCAATGAAATATTGAGCGCAATATGGTTACAAATATTGACTCTTACTAAATATTGACTATCACTTGCAAACTTGACGTGGAATGGTCCTCTAATTGATGAGGCAACATATGTCCCGTTCTTCTTTCCGCAGACAAAAACATTCCCAGTCTAATAGAGCAACACACACACACACACAATGGATTTGTACTTTTTGAAGTGATAAAGCAGCAGCATATGTCGTGGCAGACACTGTGACCTGTGGTGACTGATTAAAACTGGAAACAAAGGCAGAGCTGGAGATCTCATTAGCACCTCTGAAAGTCTTTATCTGACACAAAACAACAGGAGCAGATTCCTGAACCATCAGCACCCCCACAGCAGCACTTAAAACTGAGTCATAGTTCAACTTTTCTGTGGTTTAGCCTGGCTATCTAAGGACAGATGGCCATTATTTCAGGTACAAAATTTTACTTTTTAATAGAGTTGTCAAATCCAAATATCAGACACAGACAGTCAACTGGAGGGACTTCTAAGAACCACTGGAAATTTTGTGCATGATTCACATATTAATTGGTTTTCGGGATCCCCTTCTTCCTTCTGTATTTTCAGTAGTTGCAACAAGTTTTTTTTATCCTCTCTCCTCACTTATGTCTCACAGAACAAGCCCATGAAAGGCCACAATGAACACTGTTACACAGTCCCATTTTCTATTGTTTTGTTTCTATCTAGCACAGGCATCAGCTAAGGTGTCTGAAAACCTCACACAGCCATTGTATTGGCCCTGGTCATAACAACACTGGTTATATTATATCTACTGTGCCTCAGTCCATGAACCTGTGGATTGTCTGGGAGTAGAAACTAGAGCTGCTCCTCAGGGAAAGCCAATAAGGCTGTCTGTAAAGGAGTTTTCAAAGAAACACTGATACATGTTTCCTAGCTAGAGCAGCTACAGCTTTTATATTATGTGATATTACAGACAGAAACTGACAGTATTATCCTCCAAATGAAACATTCAATGTTCTGATTAAGATAGGATGTAAGCATGGTCACTTGGAAAACTGACGTTACACATAAACACACTGAATTAGAATGGGAAATGGCAGCTAGCAGCAGTAATACTAGCACGGATAAATTAGGTCTCGGCAGAAATGGGAAATAACCTGATTCCTGCACTGTCCCAAACTGCAACTGGGCAATCTGGATTAAGAACATGGTGAGCCAGATGACTTACAAAAGATTTTTCTTTTATCTTCTAACATACTGTATTTGGACCATGCTAACATACTTAAAGAAACCTTACATTAAATAAAAGAAAGAAAAATACATTATACATCAAAATGACAAAATTAATAAACTCCTAAAACTGCAACAATTTAACTTTTGTTACTTCCAGCAAATTGTTGAAAATATATTCAAGTTTAATGCTGTGCACAGTGTCAATATGTCTCGCCACAAATGGTACCAAGATACATTCCTGTACATGTATTGCAGCTGCTGATTAAATTTTGCCCCTTCTGTTCACTGGGACAAGCAGTGATGAATAAAACTATTCAGTGTAGCAACAATGCTAATGTTTCAGAGGTAATTGAACAATAACTCCTACAAGCTTTAGGCACTACAAACCTCCAGCATATTGCCTTTGTGGACTTGTGTGTTTTGCCAAACCATTTGTCCATTTGGCAATTACCTCCAAGTCAAACAAAGTAGATGGCCTATAAAAAGCAATGGAAGACAGTGTAATCTACAAGACGCTCTGCTCCTCACTAAATAATAAACCCATATAATCGAGTTAGCAAGATGGCAGCCTTTATTCCATCTGTGTGCAGCTGGGTGATGAAATGTTTTTTGGACTCCACACCTCTCCCATCTCCCGTGTTGCTGCTGTTTTAAATGGGGGACCTCAATTCAGACCAGTGATGGCACTGAGGAGCTAAATGTATGCACCAGTTAATTATACTTGTGAATGAATCGGTTTTAGGCCATCTTCCCGCTCTTTGTTGGTCCACCCCTCAAATTGAAATGAGAATTACAACGCCGGCAGATGAGTAATTAGTTTGAGAGGGATGCAATCCCCCGCTCGCTTAACGGAATCAAAGAGGAGAAAAGATGATGGATTGTGTGCATTTATTTATGTGTGTGTATGAGAGAGAGAGAGTGACACACAGAAATGAAGACAGAGGCTTTAATCGTGTTACATTGTCCTGAGTGGCAGGCTAAGTGCATTAACACTATTGTGTCAGGAGTGCTGTTTTCACATTGAGACTGGTACGGAATGTAAAATGTGTTCTCGAGCTCAGAGCAGAGATGAGGCTAGGGTCCAAACTCAATCAGCAGCAGATAATATGACAGTCTCCTCACATTGTGTACGGTTTACCTCTTCATAGCAAAAACGAAGGCCCTGAACAGACTAATAAACTCCTGTGACAGCTGCACATTGTGTCAGTCTTTGTGAGAAGTAATTGCTGTTTTTGATGAACAATAAATAGCGTGTCATGTTTGCAAAGCTGAGGATTTGCTTTGTGCCATTTAGACCTGAGCCAAAATTAATTTAAACTACAAAAAGCAGCTGTTTTGATCAACGTGGAGTGTGACAGAGTTGGCACAATTCACCCTTAAAAAAAAAAAAAAAGTCATTTTGCTCTCAATTGCTGCAACACCTGAATATCATAAACACGTTAATGAGTTTAATTTCAAGACATTTGCTTTATGTTATCATGACAGAAGGCCATGTTTGTTTCTGGCAAATCCAAAAATGCAGAAACAATTAGGGCTGACGCCGAATAGTCGAAGATTTGATGCTTTGATGGCTAGAGCCTGATTCGACTGTCAATCTCACAGTCGAAGCTTCGCAACGGCGTTACGATGATCATACCATTTTGGCGATATGGAGGAAAACTCACAAAACAAGACCGGTGAATGGCAGGCGAGCAGAGAGAAAAGGGTCAACAATAAGACTCAGTTTAGCTGCAAATGTACAGTGTAAGTTACACTCACCTGATATTAAGATTCATTATTTATATGAGAAGTGATTTGATCATTTGTCAGTCTCATGATCACATCAAATCCTGATTAACTCTGTTAACTCTGAAGCAAAGTTCTATCCTTCTTCCACAAAGTGATCTTGATCATTCCTCATGCACCTCTGAGCTCAAAGGTGCTACAGTATGCGTAGTTATGTGCAGTGAAGAGCTTCAGGATGGCAACTTGATCCCTTCAATAAACTTAAGTCTGCCAGAGAGTTTTTTGACAGATCTATATACTTTCTTAGGGCATGCCGTGCATATAAAATTAGGTTTATAAGACTATCCTTGAGCTTTTATTGTACTCCCAAAGAGATTACAACCTAATTCAACAACCTCATTTTGCAGCTCTGCCATGTAACCGCATGTCCTGCATGTTCACCTCCCTGTTGGTATTCTGTTTATTTTAATTTTGAAGAGTAAGAAGAAGGATAATAACAGGAGTGCTGACAACAGCTAATATGTGTTCTTAAAATGAGGTGGACTAAACTGAACATTATTACTGGAATACAGTTGTTTAAAACTTGATAAAGATAAAAACTGTAGCTGATTAACATAGTGGAGCATTTAGCAGCTAAAAATTGAGATATTTTACTTGAGTTAGATAAGAGTTGGTGAAGTCCAAAACAGAGCTAAAAGAGAGTGAATATTGGACTTACATTGGTGGGTAGTCATAACAATAATTTTAAAGAAATGTTAATTTTGCTCTGTGTCTGCTGGATGTGTAATTAGGTAAGTGAGGTAGCTCTGTTTGAGATGATCACAGCTAATCCTTTCAACGATTCATTTATTTGCTTACAGTTCTAACACTGCAACTGCAATTACTTTTTAAAGATAAACGCTACACACACGGCAGCTTCTTTCAATACACATTCCTTGACAAAACTTTGAGCAATGAGCCATAAACTGAAAGCAGTGGACCACGCTGCAACTCTGCCAAAGCAGGCAAAAGGGAAGCAACCACATTTCTGTATCTCTCCTACTCTGATGTGTTCATTGTGTAAATCCATAAGAAAAACAACAATATAAATACATGTTGCAGCTCTGCCAAGTAACCGCTGTAGTTGGTGTGTGGGAACAAGAAAACACAATCTGGTAGACCAGAGGAACGCAGGACAATATCTCTCTCTTTCTCTGTGACTTCCAAAGCAAAACGACAGTGTTTGTGAACTGTGGTTTGAACCACAGAGATGAATTTTGGACAGAAATCAAGGAGTGCACCTCTAATGTGACCAGCTGTAAAGCCAGTCACCTGCAAGAGTACAGCTGACACACACAGGCAGAATGTACAGAAGAGGATCTGACGGGTGTGAGGCAAGCACACACATGCACACACCTGATGCTAGTCATGCTTCCAGTCTCAGAGCCAAGCTTGCATCTCTCCAACTGACTGGCAACAATCTGTCGTTCGGCTTCCAGCTCCCTGGTCAGACGTTCAAACTGCAACTCCTGGAGAGAAAGAGAGAGAGAGAGCGAGAGAGTGTCAAAACATGCTATTTATTTATTGTCACATTTACAGTCATACTGAACATTATTTTGGCTCCATCGTCTCCGACACATTTTTAATTGTTGTGAAATGGTCTCTGCAGTCTGTGGTGGGAAAACAGGCCAGACATCTCTGTGTCTGTCAGTTTCACACTGCCAGATATTCACTGAGAAGAGTTTGATGTGTCGCAAAACTGTGACACCAAACTAAAGCAAATGTGACATTTGTTATTCTGCCACTAAGAAACAAGGAAACAGAAGTATTGGGGGTTTTATGAGAGAATCATTATTTTTATTGCCTCACAAATTATCTATATACACTAACTATATAGAATTGCATCCCACTGTCACCATTATGGTGGTGGCTGAGTCACATCACCCCAGTTGAAGACCCATTCGGTTGTTTCAGTGTAGCACTCCCAGAAGAATCACTCTACTGCTGGATATAATGTATAGCTTAAATCTGATTTCATATAAATGCACTGACTGATTAATATAATACATTTATAAAATTAACATTTCCATTTAAGTTGAGTATTATGAACTGTTGAATATACACATTTTGGTCACCTATAGACGATACCATGCTTCACTGTGGAAATTCTTGCTGTTTAGAATCAGGAGAATAAAACCTTGAATGCTGAAAGTTAGAGTAAATCGACAGGTATTAGTGTTACTCTTAACTCCTGAAGGAGCACATATACAAAACGAAAATTCTCCTATAATGCTCCAATCTTCAACAATCACCCTCATTTGTAAAATTTTCATCCAAATGTGGCCCAAATGTTAAACAAATTTCCAGAAATTTTGCGAAAGAATTTTTTTTACTGAAAATGTACAAAAAACTGATTGATGGAACCGGACTCATGCACAAATTCTTAACCTAAATCTCTTTCACTTTTCAGTGAGGCTTGCCACCAAATCACACAAACTTAACTTAAACCTGATAAATGCCAGACTTTTCAGCAAACTGGCAAGGCATGATGCACATCATCATACTAACAAAGTGAACAAATTATTCCTTTCGTATAGTTTCATTTCAGTTTTATTTGTGAGATTAAGGCATTCAAATTCATACAGGAAATATTAAGAAAGGCAGACTATCTGTACTTCACAGGTCTGAACTTATCAGGAATTACGTTGCTGCTGAATGACTTGTATGTTCAATTTACGAAGAAATCTGTTCCTATGAGCGGTTCTTCCATGAGGCACATTGTTTTTACACTTAATTTATGCTGTTCAATGCATGACGAATAACCACTAATTAACTGATAAACAAACAAACCAACAGATGATTACAGTATTTGTGTCTGCTGCTGTGATCATTATAGCTGATTAAGCACAACTGATTTTTACCAATTTGTGAAAAAAAAAAACCCAACAACAAATGAATCCAACAGTATTGCGGATTGTTTCAAACCAAATTAAGAGCATACAGTGCATATATACTCTAGAGCACTGGTGCTGAAATTATAAATTACATCCTAAATTGGTTTCTGACAGTTTTCTGGTGCGTTTCCAGACAACAAAAGTGATGGAATTACAACATATCATGTCAGATCGAGTGATTTAATCAATCAGTAATCAGTATTCCACAAGCAGCATGAATACAGAGGAGCTATTCTGAAAAAGATATGAGCTCATCTAAAAGCTATAAAACTTTAAATTGTGGATCTGTAAGTGAATGGATCTTGATATATTTCATTTGATTTGACGGTCAATTTCAAAAAACAAAAGTTTTGAAATCGCACATGACAGTAATTCTTCTAAGTGACACAAGCACACATACATGCATTAGAAATAGAATAGAATCTTTTTTACCGTCATTCTTCTGTAAATAAAACACTTAACACATTGGACTATGTCGTGCTCAAACAGTAAATGTGCGTGACAAATCTGTTGTAAATCTATCACTCAGCCCTTGTGGCTTTTCCCAGCCAAACTAAGCTCCCTACATTCAGAAAGCAATTACATGTGATTAAAAGTAAATAAAAAGTCAGACTGCTCTGTTTGCACAAGAGTAAAATTAACTTTAGAATAGTATTAACATTTGAAATGCCCTCAAAATATCATGGAAACACACATTTCCCAGCATGAAAGAACATTTACTTTACTTATAGTGATTTATAGTGAATACTAACAGAGAGCCGAGTGCTGGTCCGTGGGAGCTTAAACTCTGATGATGCCCGAGGCAACTCCAGGCTTCCACCATGATGATACAATTTCATTATAATGAATCATTAATGTAATAAGTTAAGAAATCAAATTGCAAATTTCACTCTAATTATGCACCACTGTCTCATTATTAATGGTAACTGGACACACACGCGCAGGCACATTCACACGCTTATAAAGAAACATGTCTGTCATACATATGCAAATGTGCACACACTGCATAAATGCATTTGCAGGGATTCTGCAGATTGTGCATGCAGCCTGTAGACACACACAGAACTTCCACACATAAATTAAAGCTTGCTGCTGTGACACGGAGTGGACACATATACCCATAGCATTGCTAGGGTTATAGAAAGTTTCCCATGGACTTCATAGCACAGTTAAGTGCAACAGCCAAACAGCATATTATACAGTAAGTAGGTTCTGCTGTAAAATACAACATGTAACTTCTGTTGCAGAGAGTAAACCGTTGTAGAAAATGTAGTCAACAGACTGTTGATGTTAACCTGCTGCAATGCTCTCACACACTCACTCTGCTGTGAAGTATCTCAGGTGTGACTACTGTTAAACAGTGAGAGCAATATGCAGACTGGCTCAACATAATGATACATGGATGCGTTTATCTGCACTGTGGATGGAAATATAGCTGCTCTGCAGAAATAGCACCAACATCATCACCTGGCTACATCCGCTGTGCTGTGTTGGCTGTATTTACTGAGCTGAGGATAAATCATTTTTGAAATGGGCACAAATAAAAGTCATGTGATATGATCGCTAACGCTGTTTTCTCACTTAGTGGCCAAGCATCAATCACCACATTGTTACTTAAACGTTTAAGCATGCCAATCCTCTGCAAGAAACACACGGAGGATTTTAGCGCCTATGATTTCATCACTTATAGGCACGTTTGAAGATAAAAGCTGTAATAATTTGATGCAAACACAAACCAGCCACTTGCTCCAACGCCATCACTGAGAAATTTCTGTTTACGTCTCAAGCTAAACTAGCGAGAGAGCCGCGCACGTACTCGTCTCCCTGCTTGATCTGACTTCTTGCAGCAGAATCTATTTAAACTCCCTCATCAGCTGATGTAAAAGAAAATGGGAAAACCCGAGAAAGAACAACCTACTTCGAGGCAGATGAAGGTATAGATGAAACGCTCGTGTTTTTCTTTGTTTTGTTTTCTTGTTTTGGCGCTCCTACAGCTGAGAACACAGACTGGAGCTGAGCGCTGGATGTCGAGCCGTGAGAATTCAGTTTTAAAGGCTTCTTGAAAACATCCAAACAAAAGCGACGCCCCCTCCTCCTCCTCCCACCACCACCCCCCCATTCCGTCCATCCGATCTCTGCTGCCTCCAATTCAGGGCTGACAGGCAGACACCTGTTACTGCAGAGGAAGGCGCAAAGAGACCATGAAGGAATGCAATCTGGGGGAAAAACTGGTGTCAAAAAGCGACAAAACAAGAATAAAATCAGGAGATAAGAGAAACCAGTGAGCGCACATACCTTCACATGGACCATACTTCACAGAGAGACACAAAATCACAGAGTATTCCGCTTTTTCTTTGCGCCCCTCCTCTGTCCCGGGTCAAACACAGCAAGCGACAGAGAGAGAGAGAGAGACTACAAGTGTCACTTGAGCTGACTGCCTCTCTCTGTCTTGCTGTCTCCGTTTCTTTCTCTCTCCCTCCTCGGGGGCCATGAAACGCACACACGGTGTTCACTGAGGCACAAAGGTCCCCTTGGCAACGGAGCATTTAGGAGCCCCGTGGCATTATTTATGCACCGTTGCATCACAATGGGCCCTCCCACCGGCCGACCCTGCCAAGAAAGCCCGCCGCTCGCCGGTCAATCTCTTCCTCTCTCTCTTTCTCTCTCTCTCTCTGCCTCCCTTTTTTTCTCTAACCACCAGACCATCTGCACCTCTCCCTTCCCTCCCTCCTCCCCCCAGCCACTGAAAATCATGCAGGGGCATTAGACGAGGCACACGCACTTAAAACAGTAGATTTATAGTACATACACACAATCATACACATGCAGGCCATATCCAAAAAGCCTAGACAAACAAATTGTTCTTCCTCAAGCTAAAAATTGAGCCACTGACCAGAAGCAAATAGTCTTATGGTGGGGGAACAGTGGATAAGACACATGCCTTAAGTGTTTGATTGTTGACATGTTTGATTCCCCCCTGCAACACATCCACCAACATGTCCCTGAGCAAGACAATTAACTCTTGGTTTCTCCAGAGGCTTGTGACCTCTGACATATATAGCAATTGTAAGTTGCTTTGGATAGAAGCTTCAGTTAAATGTCCAAAAGGGAAGAAACCATATTGCTGTGTTTTACCTTCAATATAACCCCCACTCTGCTAATCTACAAACTATTCCACAAAAGAGGGATCTTTTGCAGTCTAAAGCCCTGGATATATTTGTTTTTTAACAATGTGTAGGTGTAGACAGGTGTCGGCGACGTAAACGCTCCAAAGGAACGCAGGATACGCATGGCAGCCATCTTGCGTACGGGAACGCGTAGTTAAAAGCAAGTATATCCAGGGCTTTAATCTGTTTTTGACCAGATAATGAAGGAGGAACCTCACTTTGCAAGTTGCAAACCACCAGCTACAGTGGTTAACCAACTAGCCCTTAAGGCATTTACAATTACTTTTTAAATTAAAAACATATACAGCAAGTTAATAATCAAATATGTGAACATTAGTGAAGCTTCACATAAAAAAACCTCTTACCCAGATGCAGTCTGACTGCAAATCCATAGCTTCCCAACAGGTG